CAAAAAGCCACCAGCACGTAGAAAAAAAGGGGCATGGAAAGAGTAGGGACGGTGAGGAGGGGTTTGTGCTCTGGAGATGCCGCCGTCAGGGATGTTATGGAGCAAATTCCTTGCTCAGATAAAGCCTTCCTGGCACAGGAGTAACTGCCTCACTCCTTTGTGTACCAGAACAAAGCACCACCTCCAGACATTTATCGACCTTTCCGTCTGCCTGGCTCGGAAGTCAGAGTGAAGTGACACACCAGCTCTTCTGATTTAACTCATGGGTACCAGGAACACGGGCTCTCCAAACCACAGGCTTTTTCCAGTGCTCAGTCCCTCACTAATGAGACACTGAACTTTCACATGGAAAATACTGAAAAGCCATTTGAAACCCATGAAACCACAGGCAAACCAGTGATTCAAAGCCACCACTGGAAAGGCTGGGAGACACCACGGTCAGGGTGTCCCCTGGGGAGGGTGAGCCATCAGATGCACCACAGAGGGGGACAGCTGGTGTGATTCAGCAGTCCCTGAGGTTTGCTGGCCCATACCCAGTTCCCTGCACTGCTGGGATTGCTCCAGGGCTCCCGGAGCAAGCGAGGGAGAAGCGTTTCACTGAGAAGAAGCAGCAAGAAGAGCCAACATATGTGGAGAGCAGCCACCCCACAAATTGAAAGCAATGCTGACAATACACCCCAAGGGAGTGAGGACGTTCTGTGGGTTCCTACAGACCCCTAGAAAGGAGGGAGGCAGCCCCAGCCAGTTCTCAGGCCCACTGACCATGCTAACACTGCACACGTGCTGTCTGTAAAGCACTGGATCCACTTACATTCAGCACGAGATGCTGTGGGGATGGTTTACTTAAGAGTGAGAGCACCTCTCCACAGCCAAGGATCTCCTGTGAATGCATCAGCAGGGAGGAATTGCCAACTTCAGCTCCCTACTTGTTTACAGAAACAGATGTAGAGGATCCTCAAGAAACGCTTCACCACAGACAGATGGGGGAGAAACAACAACATGACTGTTTTTCCAGGGCAGGATATTGCTGTAGAACCACTTCAACAGCCAGAGCTTGATCCGACTGGTATTTCAGCCACCAGTGAAGCCTCCTAACCCAGATGCCTTGATCTACCTCCAGCTGAGAGTATAAATATTTCCCTGACAGCTGGTGGTGCCACACAGCAGAAGGATTCATAAAGTTTACATGAACATCCTGTAAACAATTTGAACATAAAAGGCTCTAACAGCCCAATTGTGTTTCTGATCAAAGGCAAACTTCAATATACGGCACAAATGAAAACTTCACCACTTTGGGACTCGTTTCTCCCTCCAGGAAAAGCTGTTTTCCAAGGGTACGTAGGAGGGAGTTAACATAAATGAACTACACAGTCATAGAACGAGCTGCCTGCTCTGCAGCTTCAGATGTGTCTATTTAAATTATTAAGAGAGAATGGAATTTAATTACACTGAGAAGTCACGTTACAAAAATTCCTGAACAAATCCTGTTCTCTGGCCGGGATTAGTGGTGCTGAGGTGACACTCCCAGAGGGTAAGGAGCAGTTCTGTTCCTTCAAAGACACACAGAGCATAAGCAGTAATTCCAAACTGGAAGGGCCAACCGGCAGGGAGGGAGGGAGGGAGCTGCAGGCGGGGGATGCACTTCTCTGCCAGCCCTTCTCCGACTCATTTATTCAGATGTTGACAGCTCCTTTGTCAAGCATTACCATGGGCCCAGACCCTTGGGTGCTCACCTCCCAGCACAGCCACCTGGATTCCCATGGGAACCATCTCCCTGGATAATTTCAGCATTACAAGGTGAAGTGTTCCCTGCAGAGCGATTGGAGTGCAGGGACAACTCACTTCAGTGGCAGCTGCAGCAAGTCCTGCTCTGGGGACCAAACCATATCCCTCCCAAATTCCCAGCCTGCTGCAGACAAGGCACAGGGCTGGGATGTCGGGGAGCAGTGGCAGCAGGGAGCTGAGGTGGGAACCCCACAGCCCTTTCCACCCCTCGGCTCTGACACGTGTCCCAGCCCTGAGGGGCCCCAACATCCACTTGCTGCCCCTCAAAGCTCACAGCACCCTTCCAGATTCAGGGATGCATCTTCCCGTTCAGCTCCAAGGGCACTAACTCCTAAATGGGAGCTAAGAGACTTCTCCTCAAGGGGTTTCACCAGCTTTTCAAGGGAGGTTTTGGGATGATTTCATTTTGCTCTAGATTTCTTTAATTCTTAGTGTTTCTGAGGAAGGGACTGTCCCTTACACATCCACACCAATCCATCCCTCCTTGAGCTTATCTTCAGCCTTGAAGTCCACAACTAAATGACAGAAAGGGGACAAAATGTGAATACAAGAGCTGAAATGCTTCAGGATTTCTACCTGCTCTGTAAATACATTACTTGTGTAATTTCTGCTACCTCAGTTATAAATAATTCAGGGAGGGGGGGAATAAGTGGCAAGACGACAAAAAAAACAAACTGTGTGAGCCATGAGTGGCTGTGGGATCTCTGAGAGGGCTGGCTGTGGACACTGCCAGCCTGCCCAGCCCTCCCAGCCTGGCAGCTCTGAAGGTTCCATCAGGATTTACCCAATGCAAATCTGACCTTTCTTACGAGTGACTTTTATTGCTTTTGGCAAAAGCGGCCGTGGACAACACACAGTGGGGAAGAACTGGCTTGGAAGCAAAACAGACTGAACTGCAGAAATGGAACTCGAACTTGGAATATATCAAACTGACAGCCCCCGGGCAGCCACAGCATCCCCAGGGCACACACTCAGAGAAGGCAACAGCCTCCCCAGCATGGTGAGAGCCCTGCACCTGCCTGCCAGCAATTACTGACATTATCTCCAAACAGGGGAGCTTTTCTGAGGCTCTTTTTCCTGATATTTAGTAGTTTGAATGCTAATCCCTTTGACAAAACTGTCCCCTATGCTTTTTCTGTCCTCTTTCCCCTTAATCTCTTTCTCCCAGTGGAAAAAAAGAAAAAAAAGGGAAAAAAAAAAAAAAAGAAAATACCAGCCAGCCTAGTTTGGCCGCACCTGGATTTGCATTGATTCCTCCCTTGTCATTCATGTTACCAACAGGAATTAGCATATGGCTTTAAGGGGAAACTCAGGAGGAGAAAAGAAAGATGCCATTTTGATGGAAATAAGGGGCAAAGGAATAATCTACCATCAACTAAAAAGCTTATTTGTGTATGGTTTCCCAAGCAAAGCTTCCAAAAGCCCATGTTGATTTTAGGCTACACAAAGAAACCCTAATCCTTTCAAGGGAACTAAATCACCAAAGAAAAGTACCTCGGAAGAAAAGGCTCCCTGTCAAGCATGGGTATTCACATCCAAAGGGATGCCACGAACCAAGCTCCGTAAGTAAACAGAAATAAGAATGTGGGAAATGTGTTTGAGGCAAAAAAAGAAAACCAAAGGAAGAGGAAGAGGGGCCTACTCTTCATCAGCCACCTCCTGGGGAGGAGAGGAGCCCCTCACCCTGGTTACAGGCCTGTGCCAGGAATGTGGATTCGCCGCCTCCTCGGCTTCTTCTGCCCTGGCCCAACCCCAAGAAAGGGCTGCTCAAATGCCAAAGCTTTTTACAGCAAATTAGCAATATAAAGATGCAGTCACATGTAGTTTGGGGGCCTGGGGTCACTCCAGACACGCAGCTCTTCCCTTCTAATGGCTGTGCCACCTATTCTCTGCCTCCCAGGGGCCGGGAACCTGCAAACGCCATTAATCACAAAGGATAGATCAGCTTGCCAAGTGAGATAACCTCGTTAGACTTAAGAAATAATCCAGACTGTACTTCCAAAGGATGCTAATACATGAAAAACAGGACTATGGATCCGTAATGCAATTAAATCCAGGTATAATTCAATATGCAGCAGAAGACTTCAGAGGCAGCAGCGGATCAGCGTGGGAATCCCAAAGGTAACGGGGTCATGTTCTGTCCCCAGTTAAACCACTGCAGCTTCGTGGGATTAAAAGACACAGAAAAGCACCGGAATGACCCACTGGAGTAACAAACCAAACCCAGGGAGAAGCATACAGGGCAAATACCGAGCAAATCCACACCTGGCCAACAAAACAGACCCAAATTTCAAACCAATCAAACCTGCCTCTTCTTATGCAAACCGACCCCGACCTTCCAAACCCCCAGTCAGTCAAAATCCTGGGTTTACAGCTGGAAGCTCAGCCCTTACTGAGTCAACTGAGAGGCAGGACAGTGAGGTAAAAACCTGGTACATTTTCCAGGCTTTGAATTACACTCGTTTGCACAACTCCTGCCTGGAGCTGCACCCTCCACCCTCCTTTCAAGAACACCAAAGAAATCAAAAATAAGAATTAAACCCAAAGGATCCCCAAAGCCTTTCCAATAACGCTGCTCCAGGCCCAGCCCTGCAGGGCAGCTCATTGGTGCTGATTTAGGGCGAGTTTTCCCTTAATGTACTGTTATATCATTAGCCACTCTCTCTTTGGATTGCTGTTTGGAAGAAATTAATGGGATACTGAATATTTAAATGTGGCCCTCTATATCATTTATTAACTCTACAGAAAGCACACAGCACAGTAAGCCATGGTTTATGACTATTATCCTGTGAATACTAAACGTTGGCTGGTTATTACTGTCAGCAGTGCAAATTGGCTATTCATAATTCCACGTCTATCATGGAGCTGATGAGTAACAATCAAGTTAAAACATTTTGAAAACTCTTACAGTTATTTAAATGAGCTTAAATTAAAGCCATTTGTAAAATAAACTATTCCCTAATATTGTTATTTAAATTAATTCTGACCTGGCAGGCAATGCATTATTTAAAGCCTATATTTTATATTAAGCAAAGCAATTACCAAGCATACAGAACACGTCTGAAACCCAGAGAAACATAAAAAGCACTAACAAGCTGATTGCGACATTTCTGCAAGACAAGTTACATTTCATCTCCCATTGAAATTGCCATGAAAAGAAACGTGTGGGGAAAGAAAAAAAAAAAATCTGTTTGGGATGTGAATTGCAGCCTTACCTTTATTTGTGACAGCGTTGAACAGTTTCTCAGAGCTGGCATCAGATGCCTGAAAGACCAATAAAAACAAACAAAAAAAAAAGTTACGTTTTGTAGCAGTGATAGATTTCCAAAGGCACGGCGGTGTATTTATACACAGGCAGAGGAATGTATAGTTTAGGGAAACAAATCAGGAGACAAAACCAGGAGCGCTGGAAGCGGCGGCTCCGGGGCCGTGTCCATGAGGTGGTGCTGTTTGGCTGTGCTTCGCCGCCCTGCAGTGCAGAGATTTCCTTGGAAAGCTTCTATTTCAGAAAGAAATGGGGTTTTTCTTCAACATTAGCTGCACGGAAACTGGATCTTTGTGCTGCCGTTATCCAACACGTTCTGACAATGACTTCGCGATGGAGGAGAGTCACGATTTGGAATCACACAGCCCAGTTCTGGGGATTTCCAGAACTGCAGATTTCTAAATCAATTTTTAAAGTATTTTTGGTATCCCTACTGTGGCAACACTCGATTTTTACCACCTTTAAAGCACTGCTGATAACTTAGGTTAGTAATTTCATCAACTGCTGCTACCAGCTCTTTCAAAAAGAAAGAGCATGTTCGTATTTAGGATCAGAATTTCCACGTCGGATTCACCTTCCTCTGAATAACTGAATCTTCACACCAAGCTCTGTGTCATCTAATAAACCTTTTCTTTTTCATCAAGACACCTTTATCCATGGAGGCTTTTCCTCCTAATATTGTGTTAGCACCCCGCCTACTCCCGCTGCTCGTGTGCCAACGCGCCAGTTCAGCTCTTTACCTGCTATAAAAAGCCTGGCCTGGGTTTCACAAAAAAACGTTGAAACTCAAAACAGCACAAAAGCAGACGGGGAAGGTAACGCTGGAAATGTTCATTTGACAAACACCCTGAGCCCAGAAGCACAAACCCCTAAGTTTCTGCAGCTATGTTTGGGCACACACACACAATACACGATATATCCAGCTACAGCCTAAACTTCTCCCTCCTCTGCGCCCACAAATGCTCTTTGATTCGGGACTGGAGCTGGGATCCAGCCCCGTGAGAGACAGGCTGCTTTTGGAAAATACACGGAAAATGTGCTCAGTAACAAAACACTCCAAAACCAGGGTTAAAACGCAACACTCAAGAAAAATTTTAGTTTTTTCCTAGAAACTGTTTTCGTGCTGGATTCAGGAAAAATAATTAAAAGCACTCTTTGGAAAGCAGGCTGTGTGGGTTTTTTTTTATTAAAGGGGAGGAATTTCTCAATTCAGAACCAAATAAAAACCATCAGACAAGCAACATAGACGTTCGCTATCTCGACTGCACTAAAAACTTCCCTGTGAAACTCCCGATAAATAAGCAGACCCGGCTCAGACTGTGTATTGCAGTGCAGCAATACACCGAAATAATTTGTTTGCCCTCAAGTTAGCGACAGACAAGATTTCTACGATTAATTGTTAAAAATAGCTTTATTCTTTTTCAGACTTCTAGACAGATTTTACTAGATTACCGCTTGGCTTATTTAAAAGCTGAGCTGGTGCATTTTGTCTCGATTAAATACCTTGTAAACACTGGATTTATTACCCAATGATGGATTTATTACGCAGTGACGACTTTCTCTAAATTAATGAAAATATGTGAATAATGCACAAATTGAAGAGATCAAGAAGGCCATGTGCTTTAAAGAACAGCCCAGTATTAGTCCAACAAGAGGCTCAATGCTTTCCTACTCTTGCCAATCAGGCTGCTTAAAAATAATCTTTTCCAGTGAATTTCAGCTGTTGTTGTCTTTTCAAATGCAGCTTTTCTCTGAAGTCAAAACTCTCCGAATGAGTCCTTCTTTTTAGAAAGAAAATTCAATATTATAAACCAAACAAACTTCTTACAGTTTCAGCTATTACTTTATTTTACCGTTTCAAAACAAAACAGCACAGGGAAGCTCTAAGTTGCATATTTACTTGATTTTTCCAAGCACTACAAAGAGGAAAACATCTTGTTATGAAGTTTGCTCTAACACCAAGTGTAAACCAACAGATTGTCTTTAAGTCATGGTTTTTCAGGTGAAACCTTTTCCTGTGCTATCATATAAACCAGTCACAAACCGTGCTGTGACACCGGGAAGTGGCACATCTTGGACATAAGTGGTGCACAACACAGCCTGCCCGGGGATGATTATCCATACAACATACATAAAAAAGGAGCAATTTTACAAAGACAAAGCTTTTCCACGAGCGAATCTCATTTTGCATTACTGACCACACACAACCGAATGGAAGAGCAACTTGAAAGAACCCCTTTGCCTGCGTTACCATAAAAATAACCTGAACCCAAACACTGGCTCAAATGGTGAGATGGAACTTTGCCTGCCTGTTCCGTTATTTAAAAATTGGGTTTTAAATACAAAATAGCAATTAGGGTGAGGAACCAGTGATACAGAGGCGAATACAATCTCTGCCAGCAGACAGACAGCGTATCAATTTCCATGCAACTCTTATTTTTCCACAGTCAGGCAGTCACATCACGCAACAACGCTAAAGGAACAAAAAGCCAAATTAATTTAAAAATCCACAACGACTCAGCACTATCTCAGATGGATGAAATTCAGTGCCTGTGCAGTGCTGACCTAAACCCTGCTCTGTACTGACAGGGATCTGCGGAGACAACAAAGTGCCTTTATGTCCACGGCGGGTGCGATGTGGCCAAACGTGGATGTTTAAGCGGCGGAGGAGCTCGGCTATCCCTTCCCTTACACCGGCCAAGTGCAACTCTCTCTTCATTCCCCTTTATCCTGATCTTTCCAGGTCTTCCTTGAGCAGCAGATGAGCAGACAGTGTCTGCTGGCACCGTGATATTTGGGGACAGCGCCGGGTCGGGCGCCCCGGGCTATCCGGGGTGTTCTTGCCCTCCGAGCCCCCCCGGTTTCGGGGCCCTTCTCCCCGGCTCCTGCACAGACAGAGCCGGAGCTGGCGACACACAGTTCCCTTCCTCGCACTTCGGCCGTTTTCCCTTACAAATCCCCTTGTTACCAAGCGCAGCTTAATCCTTTTCACCGCGAAATGAAACAACTCAGCAAACCCTGGGCTAAAAAAAAAAAAAAACCCAAACAACAACCAAAACCCAACAAACCGCACGGAAAAAAAAAAAAGACCTAAAGAGTATTTTTTGCCTCACCAAGGAATGCGCTGCCATTCAAGGGGACGTATGACTAAAATATTTCCTGTGCAGACGGCGCAGCCTGACTCATTGCTGGCACGGCGCGGCACTTGCACCGGCCCCGCACCTGCCCGCGCAGCCAGCGCGGCCCCTCCGCGCCCCTCATCCCGGCCGGGGGTGCCCGGGAGAGGCGGCCGCTCCCTCCATCCCTCCCTCCATCCGGGGGGGCCCGCACGGAGCCCCCCGCCCGTCCCCGCGTTACCTGCGCTCCGGGGGCTCGGCGGGGCTGCCGGCCCGCGGCTCATGGCGGTGCGGGAGGGGCGGGCGGTGTGCGGGAACTCCCGATCCCAGCGCGGCTCTCTCAGCGTCCCGCAGCCAAACCCCAACTAATCCTCCGCGGGGGGCGAACTCCGGGGGCCGGGCGGGCGGGCATCCTTCCCGGGCCGCCGACCCCTTCCCCCGCTCCCGCAAGATGGATCCCGGGAGGAGCGGGGCGTGCGGGGGTGTGCGGGGAGCGCGGCGGGCGCGGAGCGGGAGCTCTTAATGGAGCAGCAGCAGGACAAAGAAAACCATGTGCGGCGGCGGCCGGGGCAGCGGCGGCACCTCCGGGTGCGGGGCGGTGCGGGGCGGTGCGGCCGCGGCGCCTCCTCCCTCCCTCCGCGGGTCCAGCGCGTCCCTTCCTTCCTTCGGGCGGCTTTTTCGGTTTTTTTCTTCCGCTGTCTTTTTTTTTTTTTTCCCTGTTTTTTCTAGGGGAGGGGGTGATTGGTTTTGTTTTGGTTAAAAAGTCATGCCCGTCCTCTCTCTCCCGAGCCGAAGCGAGCTCCCTCCGGGCGCCGTCCCTCTCCCGCCGCGGCCGCGCTCAGGTGAATTCCATGGGGGAGACGCAGCGGCCCCGGCTCCTCCGGAACAGCCTCGCAAGCCTGTAATCCCCGCGGGGGCGGCCGCTCCGCCGGGCCGGGATGGGGATGCGGTGCCCCCGGACCCCTCTCCGCCGAGCCCGGGCTCGCTCCGCACTGCGCGGCGCTCCCGGAGCCGCTTCCCAGCGCCCGCCGGCTCCGCCTTCTCCCCGCCCCGCCCCGCTCTCCGACGGGTCCCCGCGGCGGGGGCGGCCCGGCCCGGGGCGGGGGAGGCTCCGCGGGAGCCGCGATCCCCGTCCGCGGCTCTGCCGGCCCGGAGGAGCCGCCGGGAGACGCGGGGATGCTCCTCGAGGGGTGCGAAGGGACCCGCGGCGGATGCGGAGCCGGACGGTCCCCGCTGCCCTCGGGATGAGGGCACACACGCACACGAGCATCAGTCGCTAAAGCTCCGCGGGAGAAAACACTATCAAAAACATCGTATTGCATTTAGCAATTTTTTTGTTTGTTTTTAAACGGAAATTTAATTTTTTTTTTTTATTGTAACTGGGAAAAAAAAGCAATGTCCTCGGCTGCAGGCAGGGCGGCCTGGCGGGGACCTCAGGCTGCTCTCTGAGTTGTGGTGACTCCCCGAGACCCCCCGTGCAGAGGCTCGCCTGACTGCTCCCAGCGCTGAACATTGTTGTGGACGGGCAGTGGATTTCCTACTCGCTGTAGGTTTTCCTTAAGCACAGCACAACATTAGTAAGAGCCACTACGGAGCATAAACACACAGATACACGATGGTATAGATGATTATTCACTGGAGCGTGGCAGTCAGAGCCAAATGGTGTTTCCTGGGAAGACGAGAGGCAGTTATGGCATTGGCACAGTAGCCACATATGGCAAGATGTTTCCTGGGAAAGGGATAAGTGCAAAGAGAGGGCTTATGGGCTCATGAGGCCTTGCCCAGAGGGTGTTTTCAAGGTTTCAAATCTTGAAATGGGTTTCAAACCAATACTGGGCTAGAAGTGCTAATGGAATTAAACTTGTGCGGGTTACACTTGGATT